TATTTCCTTGCTATTGACAGTGCATTCATGCCTCTCAGAAGAGGAATAGGAACAATTCAAGTTAAAACGCTGAAAAAACGATAGGTTTTGAGGAAGCGTCGCTCCCATAGGGCTGGTCACCCGTGCCTACTCTTAGGACTGGTCACAGGTCCTTGCTTGTGCTGTGCAATGGCCTCGGGACAACTCAGAACGAGGGACAGAGGCGCGCGCGCGAGAGGAGAGAGGAGGGGAGAGGAGAGGAGAGAGGAGAGAGGAGAGAGGAGAGGAGCGAGGAGAGAGGAGAGAGGAGAGGAGAGAGGAGAGGAGAGAGGAGAGGAGAGGAGCGAGGAGAGAGGAGAGAGGAGAGGAGAGAGGAGAGGAGAGAGGAGAGAGGAGAGGAGAGAGGAGAGGAGAGAGGGAAAAGGAGAGAGGAGAGGAGAGAGTAGAACGAGGGACAGAGGCGCGCGCGCGCCCCCGGATTACGTCGCTCCCATAGGGCTGGTCACCCGTGCCTACCCTAAGGACTGGTCACAGGTCCTTGCTTGTGCCTTGAATGGCGTGGGGCAACTCAGAACGAGGGATCCGGGACGTAAAAGGGCACCCCCCCCAAACCGATGTCTTCTACTTTCAATTTCTACCCCCTATCAGTGTGGCTGTGATGTCAACTTCACCCCATGAAATTAATCTTTGCCCGATGTTGCCCCATCACTTCCTCTTGCACGCCAAGTCTTTGCCTGGGCCTGCGGTCAAGTGCCTGGCAGAAGGCAAGACGCTTCCAACCCCCTAAGCCAGAGGCTGGCTTTCGTCCCCTCCCTTCTCAGGTATATCATATATCATATATCAATATTCTTCTTCTTGTGAGCAACACACCTGTGTAATTCCAAGCTCACAACATCAGAAAAGCCATCCGCCATCTGTAACCAAGGAAGCGTGCGATGAGCTCCCTGGTGATCTTCGAGGACAGTGTGTCACATCATCGGAGCATCGAAGCTGCCGGTCTCGCAGGCTTCTTGGTGAAGACCCAGTTGGGGGTCTGTTGCTTGCAGGAGGGCTTGACAGAGGAGCCGAACATGGGGAGATGGGATTACATGGATAAGAGTGTGAGAAGTCGATAAGAGCTCTTGGCTGAAGAGGGTCCCATTTTTGAAAAGTGTGGAATTCAAGAGTGGGAAACATCTGCCGTTCTTTGCCGTGAATCATCATCCAATTCGGTGTGGCATTTTGGTGGATGAGACGTGAGAACAGGGGATCATTCAGCCATCAGTCTGGAATAATAAGAAAGTGTCCATTTTGACCATCGGATCCACAACCCCCTGCTGGAGGTCACTACTCTCGCGGCTCGCCCGCCCACACGTACAGGACGCGGCCCAAATGGCCTTGCAGCTGTTGGAGAGCAGCAACAGCTTGGATGGTGGTGAGCGCCAAATGCCCCAGGATTTGATGCTGGTTCATTGAGTTCCAGACGCCTGCTGACCTGGGATTCGTGCCTCACCCGAGCTCAGCTGGAGGGGCGACACCGCCGAGGAGTCACTCAATGTGAGTCCAGGTGCAACAAAGGAAACTGTTCAGTTGGTCAAGCTTTGGACGAACTGATCTTGCGATCTGTATGACTCTGTATGGACATATGCATACGCATCTGATGGTTCTCCGTTTTGGACATGTTGAAGGTCGACGACCATCAGCTTGACGGGAAGGCCGCCTTAACGAGAAATCCTTGAGTCTTGCAGAAATCTGCGGGTGCGATGATGCGAGGAGAAGGTGAACTATGGTGAACTTGTACTCTTCTGGAACGGGGAAAACATGGAAAAACACCGGGGAAACGTGGAGGCCAGAGATGGAGACCGTGAGTAGCAATGTCGAGAACCTGTTTGTTGTCTCCCTCGCGCGCCCAAAGCAAGTGTGGATGGCCCTGAAGTCAGATCAGATCGTTGGAGAAACCGATCGCTTGATCGGCAGCTTGTCGACCCAAGAGAAGGGCTTGTGGAGGAACATCTTCAGGCAGTTGCATGGTGTGTTTGCGGTTGTGGTTTGGGGGAAGCTGTTTGGAAGGAAGAAACAGTTGAAAGAGAAGCAGTTCGACCAGCGCTTTCGCCAAGGGGCTGCGAAGGAGTTCGATTGCAATTGAGCAAGTATGGCGATCGCTGAACGCACTGTGTGATTTGCGCGGATTCTACTGTAGGCCTTGTACGGCTCTTGCCCCCCCCCATGCACTTTCGTGCAAGCACCTGCTGCCGAGAGATGTTTTTTTTTGCGGAATGGCCAAGGCAGATGTAGGGAGGACTGTGGCGCTGAATGTGAGCTTGCAAGTAGGTTGCAACTTCTGCCCATGTCGAAACCAATCAGATTGATAGAAGTTGAAGTCGCTTTTCGATCTCATTGGGGATTCTCCGTTCGATCTCATTGTACAAATGACTGCAGTGTGGCCAGTTCAAAAGGCGTCTTCGGGTCGAGGCGTCGTTCACGACGGCTGCCTCGATTGGCTGCCGCGTGTCGCATGTCGTGAACAACGACATGGGCTCGCGGTGGCTCCTTCGCCGGCGAGGCAATGTGTTGACCTCATGCACCTGGAAGAGGCCATCCTGGGGCTAAGGCGCGGAACTGCGGTGAAGTACGGTGCGTGGCTCGGTTTGGGGGGAGGTGGTCGACTGTTTGAGGGGCGGACTTTCGACCAAGACAACGATCAGAAATTGTTGAGCCTTCAATGGAATGGATTCTTCCCAGGGTGTGCAAACCAAATTGGAGAAGTAAGTGGCTCCATCCACGGTGATCCTGGGGCAGACGTCCACACAGGCTCTTGGATTATGGGGTCATTCCAGTATGTATTAACAGAAAATTACATCTACAGAGCGCCTGCTAAGGATGCAAATGTGGGTCAGTAGCCAGCCACCTACGCGCACATGCCTGGCATTGATATTCTGACATGCTTGAGTTTTGACCTGGACGTGCGTGCAGGTCTTGCGAGCTGCTGGCTTCCCAGGACAGGGAGAAGGGAAGAGCTGGCAGAGGTCTTTAGAAGATCAAGGGTAGCCGGGTAGCCTTCCAAGCTTCAGTGATTGAAGAGGTGTCTAGCTCATTCTAGGTCTTGGTTGGAATCCATGCAATTTTTCACACATTCTTGTTTAATTGGTTGGAATCCTGTGTCGAAGCAGGAGAAAGCCGAGCTGAACAAGTTGCTGGACCGGATCGAAAATCAGCTCTCGAGGACGGGACGTTTTTGAAGGAGAATCATTTGTATTTCATCATGAACCAAGGCCATTTAGTGTGGGTCCCTTCAGGAGAGAGAGAGAGAGAGAGAGGAGAGAGAGAGGAGAGAGGAGAGATAGATTAAATGCCAAGCTTTTTTAAAGCGGAAAGCCAACCTACAAAGAGACAAAGAGGTGACCTTTGGCTTCCGTCAGAGCCCAGCCATCAGCCCCTGTGTATCCACTTTTTCCAAGTGTCAAAAGAGATCTATAGCACTGGATGTGAGAACCTCTCGATGTGCTTTCAAACTTGACTCAACACTCAAGAGGCGGGTTTTTCAAATCCCCAGCGAGCCCTTGGTACCATCGGTTGGGTCGTGTGGCGGCATCTGGGATCAACGGATGGGTGGCGCACAGGAACGAGTTCTCCCAGAGTGAGGAGGAAGGATGCAAGTCGCTGGCTTGGAAGTGGATGGATAGCAGACAGTGACACTTTGGAATTGTGGGAACACGCCGCCCAAGTGCAAGATCCAGTGCATGGAATGCTTCGGCTCCTGATTATTCTTTTGTTTGGGGGTTATAAGACTCTTACTCAATTTGCCAAGGCTCCCTCAGGAAGAGAACAAGGTTCTCCGGCAGAAACTTGCCGCCTACAAGTTTCTGAAGACGCACGCCGAGCAGCAGCGAGGAGAGTTGAGGCCGCCAACCTGAGTGTATTGAGATGAGGAAGATGTTGACTGACTGCAGACGACCCTTTCAAGCGATACTTCGAGATCTCCACTTCAAGAGAAACACCAAAGGGCCTGGCTAGCTGGTCCATGGCCCTCATGGCCGGCGCAGATCATGGTCTGCATGATTCAGGTTTGCAGACTTTTGTGGAACTTGTTTTATGCCCCGCTGAGGCACTCGCAGCAAGAGAACAAGGTGCTCCGGCAACACATTTCTGCCTTGAAGCAGCTTCAGGAGCAGCATGAGCAGGAGCAAGCATCTACGAGGCTGGCATGTCATGGCTATCAATCCATCACTTCGAAGCCTTCCGTCACAGGTATTGTCCAAACAGGTTCCACTAGGTTCACTCACAGGGTCATTCATGCTTCGGCAGTCACCGGGCCACCCGCTTCTTTGGGGCGGAACTCTGGGCAGCGTACCACTGTGAACAGAGTTCTTCCAGCTAGTAGCTTCTTGTTACTAGTAATGCCCTTGTTACTACTGTAGCGATGCCCTTGTTACGTTCGTAGCTTCGTCCGCTACTTGCTCCGGCAGGGAACGAGAAGCGGATGTCTTGCAACGCTATGAGCAGCTCAAGGATGCCTTGCACGAGTCCGAAACCTTCAGGCACCGGTCTGTCGTGCAACCGTCGCTGTGTGGCACCGGTGTTCTTTTAAAGACGGCGTGGAGAGGATCTGAGTAGACAGTCTGAAGAGATGTGAAGCTTTGCAAGGGGTGAGGAAGGTGTGGTACATGGGCCTGCAGGAGGGAAGAGAATGCTGAGTGGAAGCAAAAGCATGAGGATCTTCGAGTAAAATGGTTTTCTGCCACTTGGAGGCTTTAACGCGCAGAACGGTTTGTCCTGTCTGAGGGTCACGCATGGCCGGCCATCCCTCAGTTCTGTTCGCGGCAGACTCTAGACTCTATAGACTGAACAGGAGTATAAAAGATGGAACTCTGAGTCTGCTCTAACCAGCTGCGAAGACAGGAATTAACAAATGACTTTTGGAGGCTAAGTTGGCAGAGGAGTTTGGAGAGAAAACGGTTTGACCAAGCAAGGAAAGCAGTCTAAACATCACACCTAAGTCTTTGTGTCCAGCACAGGGGTCGAGAGTACCAGCAAGCTACCAGCTGCAGTCCTAGAATAGCTGATGTTGGTTTGGCCAAAGCAGAGACTTTCCTGCTCAGATTGCCACACCTGGTCCTTCAACACACGTGGAGGAGAGGTTTCGCTGCGGTCATCGGCGACCCGAGCGGTGCATCACACCGAGGCGAAGCAGGAACCGCTGGAGGCGACCGCCGTTGGTGCTGCGGAAGTCGGGGGCGGTCGGGACCCGCTCCGGTGGGTTCGGAGAGTCCGGACCTGGGGTGTCTCAGTGTGTCTCAGTGTGTCCATGTGGCTTCAGGCTTTGCACAGTTCTTACAAGTGTCTTACCTTCCTGCGGAAAGCGACAGGCCAAGCACGAAGCGCACGCCCACGAGGCAGGGTCAGGGAGAGAAGGGCTGCTTGGCAAAAAAGATCCTTTTGATCGATGTTTGGGTGCACTTCAAGAGAAAAAGGACCCATGGCCCATGGGTTCCCCTGACCGCCACTCGGCGGACAGGCGAGCGGACGCCGAGCGGAGCGGAGCGTCCGCGCGCCGAGCGGCCAGGCGGAGCTTCGGGCTGAGCTGTTGCGCCTGAGAGAAGACCGGGATGCGTGGAAGAAGGCGAGGGAGACCGTAGATCTTTGGGTCGATGGCCGATTGAAAAACCAAGTGGTAGGGTCTGATGCAGTGCGAAACTGTGGATTTCCAGATTTTGTTCGATGTTTTGAAAGATCGTTCGATGCGTTGAAGGGGGGTTTTCACTGACTGAGATGGAGACGGCCACCGTCTATGCGGCTAGACTTGGGTCGCAAGGAGCCGCGCGTCGAATTAGCCGCATCGATGTGAGGAGGCCCAGAAAGCCCAGCAACGGCTACGAGAACGTGGCGCGGCCTTATTTGGGCGAATGAAGATGGATCAAGAGAGCAGAACTAGGGACCTGCAGGCCCTAAGATAGTCCAGTCGTTTTTGGCCTTTGCAAGTTTGTGGTTTGTGGTGTACCTTCTTTTGGAGCAAACCGTTTTTGCTCATAAAGTATTCAAGCCGCACTAGCCGTCCGATATGTCAGGATGGCAGCCGAAGTTATTATCATGCCCAGTCTTCTAGGTCCCAAGCCAGCAGAGCCCATAGAGAAGACCAGCTTGACCGGCCTGGTTTCCCAGTCAGAGCCAGCTTGACCTCTGTTGGCTAAGGAGAAGAGGAAATGAAGAAGGCTCATCCCTCGTGGATCAACCAGGCTCGGTTTTTTTTCTTTGTGGCGCCAAGCAGCGCCTGACGTGCAATGTTGCACCATCAGTCCGATCCACGAACACCGAACACCTGAAGATTCAGAATCAAGAGATCCTTCCTACACAGGTGGAAGATTTCCGGCAGCGCATGACGGAAGAATGGCAGCGGCATGCCCAAGCGCACAGCAGTCCCTACTTGGGAGAAGCTCAGCCAAGTAGAGATGCTTTCGAGACGCGAGGGAGCCTTTTTCAGTTCGCAGGTCACCTGCGCATTTGTACTAAGTGTTGATTGGGATTTCTTAGATTGTTGATTGGATTGCATACATAGTTATTTAATGTCCTTTATAAGTCATGAACAACTCACGAAAGGTAGCTTGAGCTACCTGAGTTCTCCTTGCTTTAGCAAAAATGTATTACAATCAGGAGTTGGGATTGTGCATTGAATTTGGTCCTGTAAGAGTTGATTCTGTTCGTCGGGGGGGGGGGGCCCCCAAAAAATGTATTAAAAATTGATCCTGAGAATATTTTACATTTCATATCATAGCAGTATAACAACTCAACAATTATTCATAAAAAAAGCATAACAGTCAAAAAAGTCAGTTTAAATATTGTTGATGGCTTCATTTTCTCTCAACAATATCAAAACATAATTACCTCTTTCATTTTTTCAAAAT